GATTTTGTGTGGAGGCTATATATACCCCTCCACCTCCTCTTCATTCGTGGAGAGAGCCATCAGAACAAACCTACACTTCCTACTTACCAGTTCTGAGAGAGAACCACCTACTCATGTGTTGAGGCCAAGATATTCCGTTCCTACCATATGAATCTTGATCTCTAGCCTTCCCCAAGTTGCTTTCCACTCAAATCTTCTTTCCACCAGATCCAAATCCTATGAGAGAGAGTTGAGTGTTGGGGAGAATATCATTTGAAGCACAAGAGCAAGGAGTTCATCATCAACACACTATTTGTTACTTCTTGGAGAGTGGTGTCTCCTAGATTGGCTAGGTGTCACTTGGGAGCCTCCGACAAGATTGTGGAGTTGAACCAAGGAGTTTGTAAGGGCAAGGAGATCGCCTACTTCATGAAGATCTACCGCTAGTGAGGCAAGTCCTTCGTGGGCGACGGCCATGGTGGGATAGACAAGGTTGCTTCTTCGTGGACCCTTCGTGGGTGGAGCCCTCCGTGGACTCGCGCAGCCGTTACCCTTCGTGCGTTGAAGTCTCCATCAACGTGGATGTAGGATAGCAGCACCTATCGGAACCACGCCAAAAACATCTGTGTCTCCAACTGTGTTTGAATCCTCCAAACCCTTCCCTTTACTTTCTTGCAAGTTGCATGCTTTAATTTCCGCTGCCTATATACTCTTTGCATGCTTGCTTGATTTATGTGATGATTGCTTGACTTGTCCAAATATTGCTAAAATCTGCCAAACTCTAAAATTGGGAAAAGGTTAAGTTTTTTAATTGGTCAAGTAGTCTAATCACCCCCCCCCCTCTAGACATACTTCAAGTCCTACAGTGGTACTGTCGGTTCAACGGCATTAACTGCCCTCTTGTGAAGCTTCTGATCACGCTTGCACAAACTAGTAGTGAACACATGGTACTGCCCACCATTCAACTGCTTCGGGTGACTTTGAAAACCTAATTGCTGATGATTTCCCTGATTGTTCTGTTGATTGTTACCACCTTGATTGTTCTGGTTGCCCTGATTATTCTGAAATCCAGAGTTTGAACCGCCGCCACCATGAAAACCTGGACCTGAACCGCCCGGCAGACCCTGATTATATCGGAAAATATCAGAGTTTTTGAACTCCTTCATAATGAAACAATCCTTCCATAGATGTGTTGCTGGGACCTCCTTGGTCCCGTGCTTTGGGCAGGGCTGGTTCAACAGACGCTCCAGATTCATACCGCCGCCGCGCTAGGGCGGTTTACCCTTACGACGCTGTATATTAGTGTTAGCCACAAAATCTGAATTATCCGTTTTGCGCTTACCATTATTCCCATGGCCTCCCTGGTTGTGTTGTTGTCCCTTCGCACCGTCGTTCTTCTTTCCCTTCTCCGGTTTCTCCTCGTCAAAAACGGGGTCCTTGGTACTATCAGAATCGGCATATTTGACCAAGGCTGCCATAAGGGTTCCCATATCATTGCAGTGGTGCTTGAGCCGTCCCAACTTCATCTTCAGTGACTTAAACCGGCAACTACGCTCCAGTGTTATGATTGCTTGGCCAGCATTAATCCGGTCCGCCGAATGCAAAACTTCGGAAACCCGGCGCACCAAATGAGTTGTTGACTCATTTTCCCCTTGAACACAGGCATCCAGATCCATGGTGGACATAGGATGTTTGCATATATCCTTGAAATTTGCTATAAACCGGGCCTTCAATTGGTCCCATGACTCGATGGAGTTCGCCGGCAGGTTTTTCAACCAAGTACGGGTTGTTCCTTCCAACATCATCGTGAAGTACTTTGCACAGGCCGCTTCATCCACATCCATCATCTCCATTGCCATCTCATAACTTTTCACCCATGCCTCGGGTGGTTGATCGGCGGTGTAATTTGGCACCTTGCATGGAATCCTTGGGCAGTCGCACATTATGGAGAGCCGGAATGAGGCACGGCACTCCCCAGGAGCTGAAGGCAAGCCCGGTGCCTCGGTCTACTGACGCTGCTGGCTGAGCCGGGGTGGGTTGATAACGACCCGTATACTGTGCTGCTAAAGCGGCCTCCCTTCATGCTCTGCCATTATCCACCACATCCTGAGCATTTACCTCGCCAGGCACCGGATTGGGTCCTTGAGGGGCATCGCGGCGCCGCGCACTGCTGGACACCTCCGGTTCATCTATGTGCCTGCTATAGCTTCTACTCGGACGGGGGGTCATGTGAAACCTGTCTCGGCTATATGAATAAGCCTGCTGCTGCACCATAGCAGTCTGAAGAAGATCCCTGGTCCGTCGTGTCTCAACCGCCGCTAGCGATTCACCCTCCATCGGAATAGCTGCCAACCGGGATGTTGCTGCTATCATGTTATCCAAAGGGGTAGAAAAGTGACCCGGCAGGGGTGTTGTGTACCGTGGCGGGTTGTCTGTCAGTCGAGGTGGACCCATCACCTAAGGTTGATCCGGCGCTCCGGTCCTTGGCACGATAGTCCGGTTTACTGCTGCCGGGTTGCTGGTCCCTGCCCCTGGCGTATTGAAGAGATTCATCGCATTGTAATCCGCCGGCAAGCGAGATCGATGTCTCCTCCTGAATACTTCATTCGAGGCGTTCTGATCCATCAAAAGTCGATAATTCTCGGCCTGAATCCTCTGCGCCTGGGCATCTAAAGCGGCCCGTTCCTCAGCCATCCTGGTCTCCTCAGCCGCAAAGTCCTCTTTGGCCTGAGTTATCTGATCCCGTAACTTAGCGACCTCTACATTATGCCGATCTTGAGTCTCCGGGGTAACTGTTGTGGCCAATAACATCGTCCAAGCATCCAACAAACTGGACATAACTTGAGCCGGCCAGCGCGCGGGGCCTCCTGCCCCAGCTGCTGGTCCGGATGCCGCCGCAGTAGAATTTTGCAAAGTTGGTTGCGTTCCGGCCATGAAGATTGCGACTCGGTTTGGTGGTTCAAGAAATTCCGGAATACTTGTGCCATCGGAATACCCTTCAAACACACCGTCATGAAGTTGGTACAGGGACTCGGTTTTGCCGGTGGACGATTCACCGTCGGAATAAGAGACCGTCTCACCTTCGGGAACCGGTTCAGATCCGATCTCGTGGACACATGCTACGAACGCACGCTTCACGGCGGGCTGAATCCGAGCGGGGCTGGCACGCTGATCCGTCTCGATGAGGTCGGTGCAGATGTCCGGCTCAGGGCCCGGTTCGCCGATCTTGCTGATGAAAACATGAATTCCGCCAAAGGGGACCCGGTACCCGTACTCAATTGAGCCGACCTCGGGGCCCCACCCTACATCGTCGATGTAGAGCTTGCCTCGATGACTCTTGGTCATCCGGCCAACCGCGTACCCTTTGAGTCCTTCAAAGCTGTCCTTCAAGAACTCGAAACCATCGTGCGATAGCCCCACGGTGGGCGCCAATTGTGGTGCAATATCACGTCAGATGTCCTCGTGAAAGGACTTAGTCATGGAGCCATTGCGACGGGTTAGCTTAAAGGGGTTAAACCGGACAAAGGACACGAGGATTTGTATACTAGTTCGGCCCCTTCGATGAAGGTAAAAGCCTACGTCTAGTTGTGATGGAATTATTGGGGTCTCGATAACCAGGGAGCAAAACACGCTATGCCTGGCTCTCGAGTTGTTGTTTCTTGTCCCTGAACCGCCGCTGGGTCGTCCCCTTATATACATGGGTTGATGCCCGGTCGGTTTACAGAGTCCCCAGGCCGGCTCATACAAGTGTCCGGCTCGGTCTCTCCTTTCCTAACTTACAATACAAGTTACATAACCATGGCGGTTTACCACTATGGGCCCTAATCCGCCTTTGGGCTCCGGGCCTGTAAGCTTCTTTAGTAAAGCGCCATCTTCTGGGTCTTCGTGGGCTTCAATATAGTTGAAGGTGAACCGGCCCCTCCTGGGCGGTTTACACTCAGTAGTTATACCCCCAACACTACTTCTATCCTTTAGTTGTAGCGCCTTACTAGTAGTGCGGTTCCCCGTGCTACTGATAGGCATTAAACACGCGCTACTGCTAGGATTTTCCCTAGTAGTGAAGTATTGGGAGCTCACTCATGGAAAGATCTTTGAAGCCTCTCTTTGGAATGTTAGTGGTGGCCAAGGTGGTGGTGTTGATGGTGGTGGCCGAGGGGGTGGTGGTGGTGATGATGTGTATGGTGGTGGCTGAGAGGATGGTGGTGTTGATGGCTGAGAGGACAACAGTGGTGATGATGGACGAGAGGATGGTGGAGTTGATTTCTTCACCGACAACATCAGTTGAGTGGTGGTGGCCGAGGGGGTGGTGGTTCATGCCATTGGTTGGCTTGATCCACAACATATGCATGTTATATGGTGATTTTTGGATTAAACATTGTGTTTGAAGTGATGTATTTTGGGTGAACTTCGCATGTTTTAATTTGAAAAACGCGATGATGAAACTTTATGTTATGGAGGTTATGCTATGCATGTTTTAATTTGAATGTTTCTAAGATATGTATTGTGCAGTGTTTGAAGCTCGTGCGGCTAGGACACAAAATTTACACAATTTTATTTTTACTCCACTAACTACAGGGGATCAACTAGGTGCCCCCACTGTTAGTGGAGTAAGAATTTACTCCACTAACTTTACTCCACCAGATACTCCATTAACTTTTGAGGGATCGGTTATAAATGCCCTAAGCATATAGAGCTTGATATTCACTTTGCTCGTGAAAAGGTACCACTTACACATCTCATCATCTTCATAGTTTGTGGATATCTTCCAAAGTTAAGTCCTACCATTCGACGGTAGCGATCAACTTGGAATGCATGCTCAAATTCCAGGGGCTTCGTCAAGACTCGTGTAAGCCCGGTGTTTTTGGTAGAATATACTGAGTTTTTATTGGAAGCCGTGTGTTTTTTGGGCTGTTATCGGCTAATGGTGGACTAAGCCAAGGGCCCTCGTGTTGCCATGTGTTTTTTGGGGGTCTACTCGTTTACCATCTGCTAAACCGAGTATCTGAGAAATAACAATCTCCTTAGAGAAAAACACTAGGCAACACACGTTTTTCCCGTATTGATTGTAAGCTACTTTTTCCTATCTTCTCCCATGCCTTCCACATCTTGTCGTCGTCATCTTTGTGCAAGTCTAGTGAGTGGCCCTCATCTTGATGTATTGAAAGTTGCCCTTCGTCCTTCATACATGTTTCATTAATTCTGCTCAATACTAACACGGGTTCAGATATTTTGGCTCTGATGGCAGCTTCTGCGGCGTCCACCTGCGAATAAGTAGCATTTGTGCAATTGATCATCACATGGACTGTTGTGCATGTGAGGTGTTCGATGCCAATATCCAAGTATTCAAATCGATCCCGGGCTGTTATCACTACAAGAGTACGCCAAAGCCTTTGAAGCTGTGGCATGGCCCCTTCTTTGAACTCCAGGCCCATCCAGCTATCCCGGATTATGAACGAAAACACCTTCAGATGCAGAAAGGTGCCCTTCTTGATGATGAACCTGCTTCCTTCTAGGAAACAACTTTTTGCAACCATGTTGAGTAGGACTAGATTAATCAAGCCCCCGAGGACTTGGAAATCTTCTGCTTTTGCTTGCTCGAGTTGAATGTGCAAGTGGGTAAGGCTGGAGAGTGATCCCATATTAGGTGGAACTCGCCCGAGAGGAAGATCAAGTAGTACGAGCTCAAATCTTGGGGGATCAAATTTATTTTCTGGTGGAGCTGTGACTTCCACCCATGAATCCACCAGTAGGGAAACCTCTTCATCATCAAAATCCTCACAATTAAGAGATAGGGATTGGAGCTTGGACTTTACAACCTCATCGAAAAAATACATGAGATTGGTTACTGGTGATGCACCCAGCCTTACATCTAGTATCCTTAGGCATTCAGACTCCCTCAGCAGTTGTACCACCATACCAAGTGAATTGCTTCCGCTGGCAAAACTGCTTGCTTCTTCTAGTTCATGCATCACCCGAATTCTCTCGACGTCCACATCAAGCAGGAAAAGCAGCAGATGCTTCAACTTTTGCAATTTAAATATTGATGCTGGCAAAGTCGTCCCAAAGTACCAGTTCCGCCTCAAATCTAGGGTCTCTAGCTGCTCCAGTTCTCCGATCTCCTCTGGTAACCCCCTGATACCAGTCCCTGCCAGTCCTAGGTATCTCAGTTGGACCAATTCTCCAATGCCTGCCAGATGGTGATCTTCTAACCCCTTTCTATCTTCTAGATCTAGCACCTGCAGAAGTTTGAAGCCCCAAAGAATATCCACAGAAGCTCTTATGGACAGTGGAACATGCATCTCCTCTTCATCATTAATATCTTCGAAAAATATGAGCGATCGCATCCTTGATAAGTGCGGAGTGCTTGCCGAGAATGTGACAACTTCGTCTTCATTACTACTGTCGAGCGATAACCGCCGAATGGTGTCACATGGAAATGGACCAAAACATAATTCTGCAGCCCTTGTAGCAAAGTTCTCTTCTCTGGACATGGATCTGATGAAATCAAGAATCACACCATGAATGGTACATCCAAATGCTTGGTCATCAGTGTAGTCAAACACCGGTTGAATCAGTCTTCTACTGATAAGCTCATTGAAGAACCTCTCCCCTGTTGCCCACAAGCATTCTCTATTTGTTCTTGGGATAAATCCTTCAGCTCCCCATAACCGTATTAAACGATCTTTTTTTATGGTATAATCTTGTGGAATAAGACCAAGATACAGAAAACAAGACCTCAAAGGAAGAGATAGATCAGCAAAACTCATGTGCAGTATATTTGTCATTCCTTTAGTGGGGGAATATTGCTTCATTGATGATATAATAGATTTCCCAAGCATCTTCAGCTCTGTCCTTTCTTCAGATTTCCTGGCTAATAAGTTGGCTGCAACAATTATGGCCAATGGCATGCCATCACACATATCCAACAACATGTTACCACAAACTTCTTCAAAATCTGACACTCTTTCTCCTCGACGAGCTATACTTCTCAGAAATAAGATTTCAGAGTTCTTCTTGCTAAGTGCCTCCATCTCGTAGACAAGATCGCTACGATATATTGAACAAGATTTCCCTACATCCTTGATGCAAGTTGTAATCAAGACCCTACTTCCAAGGTTATTTGGCAAAGCACAATTGATAACTTTCCAAGCCCAGACAGTCCATATGCCATCGACTACGATGAAGTACCTAAAAAATATAATTACAAGCAAAGTAATTGTTATCAAAGTACTCAACGTTTGAAAATACATAAAATAAAATGAATGAAATGGAACATAAAAAGGCCAAAAAGACAGATATACTGGTTATGTAATTACTTATGATAGTTACTTACAATCAACGTATTAGCAAAATTTTAGCTGATCTCCATTGATATGCATGTGGCTCGTTAAGAGTATAAACAAGGTGCACCGAGGATTTCCCCGGAAAAGCAAAGTGGCAGCTTCGGAAGGCCAGTGCCTTGTCAACTAGAAGGCGGTGTGTGGGCATCATCACCATCCTTGCGGCTCAGAGCTCGACGTTACGTGCATGATGGCTCTGGCTGGCCTTCCACTATAGGTTGACAACAAGGTTAGGGCATTCTTTAGCGCGTCCACACCATCCAACCGGGGGACAGGAACCGGACATCCCCATGGAGGAATTGTCGGAGCTTCCACATGGCATACCGGGAGATCTTCGGCCACTTCATGATAAAGGGGCCGGCTTGCTGTCGCCCAGGCACTCAATGATGATAGATGGATGCGACACCTGGAAGGAACCTGTCACTTGGAGCCATCCGTGAACTCATCGTGGTCTGGCAACCAAAAATTCATTGCGGGCATAGCGCAGCGAGCGGAAGCGAGGCGAGCCTTAGAACTAAGGAGAAGAAGGGAGGTGAGCAGGAGGCGAGCGGCTAGAGGAAAAAGAAAGAATGGTGACCATTGGATGTTAATCCAACAATTTATAAATTGACTCAACACAGGGTTTTTCGAGGATCCTTGGGCCCCTTTTGTATGGACTAAAGGTATTGCGATAATTCATGTTTTTTGTCCCTAGGCAATGGCAGCTTAAAAATAGAATTGTCTTTTTTATTCTCTCTTTTGCCATTTTGTCATGAATTACCTCATTTATGAGATATTCATTTGTCCTTTTCCCATTCTATCACACACACAGCGAAATAATTGATCCCTATACTAACTCTAATTCTCCCAACATGCAACTATACAAACTCATTGCTAATCATGCATGGGAAAAGACTCACCTTAACATGCATCATACACCATGCATGTTGCTCATATTTAACAAATATTCTACAACTATACAATAATAAAATAAAATAATGAGGGGAGGGCCGAACTGCCTCCGAGGTCACTCGGTGGAGCGACTCCGGAGGCTACACTGCGCCACCCAGAAAGCACCTCCACTGCCGCTCCAACCAGTCCGCCATCGTCGTAGGTGCCCGCCAGGGCTGACGGCAGCAGTGGGCGCTCCCGCCCCTCCCTCCCTTGCCCTCCCCTGACCATCTCTCCATTGACCGTTCATGCACCATTGCTAATCTGTGTCGCACGCGTCAGATCCCTTGCTGGAGTTCATCCCGATCCGTGATGTAGGTTCCTCCTAGTGGCGGATTTGGCTGACGCGTCTCGATCCATGGAGGGCCGCGGCTGCAACTATAGGTGTTAACTCTCTAATCCAGTAAAGGTTGGTAATGTTATACTCCTTCACTCGGCTGTGAGGCGCGGCAGTGCAGCACGGTGGAAGGCCAAAAAGGCCGCGGCAGTCTGAGGCATCATGTATGGGTGATTATTTGGCTCTTTAAAGTCACAGATTCGATGGCCTACTCCCCTGATCATGGTCGGCTGCTCCAGTGGGTGGCGATTGGAGTTGACTGCTTCAGTGGAGATAGGCCTGGGCTGTGGGTGGTGTGGCCAGGTGGGCTGCAGAGCTCTAGTTCTTGACGAGCGGACAGATCTGCCCTTCGTGTTCTATATCCGGTTATGTCGGCCCTAGGCCGACGGGTCTTGGTAGGGCTCTCTCCGGTAAGGTTACAGTCGGAGTGAGGTGCTTTGCCGTCGGTGTCTGTCCATGGTGACCACTTCGGCCAGTGCAGCAACCTCCTTGCGGATTGTCGTAACCGTTGAAAGTCCTTTGTGAGGGTTACCCTCTTCAGATCTAGTGGTTGCCTTCAATGCAGAGGATATGATTGTGCAGTGGCGGCAGTGGGGTTTCTAGCCCAGTACATACAACTCTTAGGATTGTGAAAAAGTGGTGGCGCCGATAACGCACATTGACTCCGATGATGGTACTTCTCAAGTACAAGGTCTCGAGCAACAGGGTGAAAACCTAGGTCTGATCCAAGTTGGCTAGACATGGCAATGGCAATGTTTTTGTGCCATTATCTTGTTGAAAGCGTTGCTCAAACATGCTCGGATTGATTCTTCTGGGTGAAAACCTAGACTCTGGCCGTTGGTCGTTGGATCCGGTGACGGCGGTGATCAAGTGTCGCTCCCTTCCTAGAGGGGTTTTTGTTGAAGAAACTCGTTGTCCTTGTGGTGTCATGAGATGGTTGGTGTGGATATGGTTTTTGTTGTAGTTTGCTGATCGCAGATTTGTTCGCTTTGGGGTTTCTTCCTTTCCCTCGCTTAAGCATAACTTTGGTCTTATATGAATTTGCTATTTGTCGCTGGGTTTTTTGTGTGCATGCTTTGGTGTCGATTGTGTGCGTCCTAATTATGCAGATGTTGGGTGTGTAATCATTATGTTTGTATCCACTTTTCGTCGAAAAAATAATAATAAAATAAAATGTATGTATTTTGCTTTTAATTCTCATATTATTGACCTAAAATATTAATGTTTCTTCATACAACCGAATCTCATTGAAATGGCAATCAATTCCCACAACAGCACGCAGGTATCATCTCTAGTATACCTAAATAGTTGATCTCCAATAATATTATTTTTCTCAATAAGCAGACATGTCACCTCACCACACATGCGACCTCGCAACAAATGAAGGGATAAAAAATGTAACTAACTCGAAATAATAAAATGTTGTTCAGTAGCTAAATTTGCCAACGAAGACATTGTTGCATATCACGTCTAGCAAATGCCTAACCGGAAATTTGACGTTATGCAATCTATTTCTTTTGTAAACTGATATTCACCTCAAGGACTGCCACTGCATATTTAGAGAAAGTATGGGCTATGATGAACTTCAGGTGGACCAAATCAGGCATTGGCATGCTAAATTAACACTTACGAAATAATGAACCTAATAATTGTGTTTTGAATATCTTTTTTTAGAGAGGTTTTTCTACACCCCAGCTCGATCCACCGATGATGCACCCACACAAGAAAACATAGCAAAATATTTCAAAAAAAAATCTGAAACATTGTGAGAATGATTAGCAACAAACATTATGGGCACTTGCAAAGTTTGGTGGTCAAATAACATTCGAGGAGCTCTGTACAAAAAAGGCAAAATCACATTTGACAACCAAACTTTGCAAGTGCCCATAATATTTGTTGATGATCATTCCCACAAAGCTTCAGAATATTTTTAAATGTTTTGATATGTTTTCTTGTGTGTGTGCACCGAGCTGGTATTCAGTCACTACTTTTCCCTTTTTTTTTTACCATCTCATTATTTGGAGAACCATGAATGAACTTCAAATGGTATACCATATATATAACAATGTAATTGCTAGTACCTCTTAGTGCCGAAATATTCTTGGAGCTCAGTGATAATTTCTTCCACGTCCTTAGCTTTCTCGTAGCTAGATAATTTAGCACTCCAAGGCTTTACTTGACGGAGTATATCATTTAGTATTTCCCTCATGGCAGGTCTCCTGCCAGCAGAGACGAAAGCTTGGCACTCGAACTGACGACGAAGTTGAAGCTCCGAATAGATCTCCTTGGCAAGAGTAGTCTTACCAAGGCCTTCCATTCCGACAATCGACACCACCTTTCGCATCCCCTCCTTATCTTCTGTTAGGTGTTTGACGATCTTGTCTCTTGGACCTTCGAGAATACCAGGGAAAGATTTCTCCTCGACAGGCAGTCGAGGGTTGATGGTAATGTTGCTGGGTGCAACAACATCAAGACCGGGCTCGGTGAGCACTTCCTTGAAAAGATCGCCGTACCATGTGAAGCGCTCATGCACTTCGCTGATCTCGGTCATGAAATATTGGATTTCTTTTGTGTCCGACGAATCCAGCATGTCGGTCTTTGCCTTTTGATTGATCCAGTCTTCAATTTCGAAGACCAGCTCCCTGACTTGCTTCATACACACCGTGGGTACGCCGAGCTTGTCGCAGAAATCCTCCTTAAGGCTCCGCACAGCTTTCTTGAAGTTTTCTGTCAGGTTGGAGAACTCTTCTGTTGGATTGGAATGATTCCTCAGTTTGGCCAGCTTGTCCAGAAGGGAATTTACTGTCCCTGTCGAATAGCACACCAAAGGTAGACCATCCATGATCTAGATCTCAATCTCTCTCTACTGGCCTCTCTATTTCTCTTTGCCTCTCGGTCTCGGATGTGTATAATGAAGACTTCAAGTTCATATCCATAGTGATTCGCATGTGGTGACGAACCTACCTATGGGATTATTCTTCACACGTAGCGTGGGTGATGGTGTGTCCACATGTGGGAGTTGTATTTAGTGGGCGCTAATTAGAAAATGTTTATTTAACGAAGTGCAGCTGTGGACTTAGCAAGGATATCATCGAGTTGAATCAATATACGTTCTATGGGCACCATTTCTAAGATGGTCCTGAATGCAAGATACATTTAAATGCAGGTACATAACGTTCCTCGGTGAAAATTCTCCAACGACTTTTGCTGGATGGGGCATGATTTATCAAAGAATCACATATAAGGGCTAGATTCCGCACTGGCCCACACAGTTTGCTTTATGTGTGTGTGTGTGTGTGTGTGTGTGTGTGTCTTAGTTTACGCCAGCCATCAACCTTGCTTTGGAAGGAAGTTTTGAGAAAGCAAAAAAAAAAAGGTAAATTTTCATTACAAATACTTATGATAACTAAATTATGTAGGAATTACAAATACACATAAAAACAATCTTTGTAGAACTCTTGCAACCGGCTAGAATTTTGATTGGCATAATACTCTCATGCTCCTTGTATATATATGCAGTCTATCGTTCCTCTATTACTGAGTGTACATCATGTACACTTGATGGAAGTCATTTCCTCATAGGGTGTGACAGGGAGAGGTGCAGAGTAGAGAACAATGGAGGTCATTAGCCTGATCAAGAGTGTGATGGGGTGCATGAAGACGCTGGCTGACCTTATAGAGAAAAACATCGAGCGCAGAGACTTGCTCGCTGTTGGCCTTATTTCCATGAAGAATTATCTCCAGATACTCATCGACGTCGAAGGGCACTTCAAGAGAAAGCAGCTGCAACTGGCACCAGGAATGCAATTGCAGCTGCAGGAGCTGGCTTTTGATATCGATGACTTCATACAAGCTCTCTGGGTTCCCGGACCATGTCGCTCCTTCTTCCTCGCTGCGGTGGGGTTAGACTCTCGTCCTCGACTTATTCAGCTCATTGCCGATTTCAAGGATCGCATCAAGATTCTGATAGAAGAGCTTCCAAAAAGCTTTGAACCGATGCCACCACCGACCGGGGGAACTTCAACGTTGGCCAGTCCGCCGTCATCGGCTAGAGCTCCAGTTTCTTATGCTCGAGAGGTGGATCTCGTGGGCATCCAAGGACCCAAAATGGAGATTAAGGAGCTTCTCTCGCCACACGCTGAGCCCCATCGAGGGAGACTAAGTGTCATCTCCATCGTCGGATGTAGCGGCGCAGGAAAGACTGCCCTCGCAAGGACACTCTACGAAGACGATGATGTCACCAAGGATTTTGATTACAAGGCATGGGTTGTGGCCTCCGACCACATCCCTGCGGGTATTCTAAACAAGATCCTCGAAGAAGTTATTCCTACATCACTACTTGGAAGAATCTCCCAAGCTTTGCAACGTTTCTTAAACACGATTCTCCGAGCGGTTCCTCTATCACCAGCCCGCTGGAGTACCTCCGAAGCTATGCA